ATTTAAGCTATTGTGAATGGGATTATTTCCCTAAATTTTTCTTGGTGGACTCATTCTTGGTGTGTATAGGAAAGCTGTTGATTTTTGTGTGTTGATTTTGTGTCCTGCCACTTGGTTAACTTGCTTATTAGAGCTAAGTATTCTGATGGGTTTTTTCTTTTAAGGCTCTTTATGTAAAGATCATATCATCTGCTAATTGGGGTGATTTGACTTCTTCCTGCCCTGTTTGTGCCCCCTCCCTTTTTTTCTCCTGCCTGAATCCACTGATTAGAATGCAAGTACTGTGTTGATCAGGAGTGGTGAGATTAGATACCCTTGTCTTGTTCCTGATTGTAGAGGAAATGCTTTCAGTTCCGTGTTACTTTGTAACAACTTTATTAAATCATACAGTTGGAACTGTAAGCTCACTCATTTAAAAAGTACAGTTGGGTGGCTGTTAGTGTATTCATACTGCACCATGGCCACAGAGAAATGGCTCTTTGGATTTGCCTATCCCAGTCATTTTATATAAATGGAATCACACAATATGTTTTCCTCTGTAACAGATTTCTTTTGCTTATCCTACTTTTTCTAGGGTTCATCTGTTATATCATGTATCAATGCTTCACTTTCTTTGTTTTTATTATATATATATTTTTGAGACAGAGTCTCACTGGGTTGCCCAGGCTAGTTAAACTCTTGGGTTCAAGTGATTTTTTTTTCTGCCTCAGTCTTCCGCATGCCAAGACTATAGGAATGTGCCACCATGCTCAGCTATAATACTTCATTTCTTTTTGTTGCCAAGTAGTATTTCTTTGTATGGATAGATCTTATTTTATTTATTCATCTGTTGATACAAATATGAGTTGTTTCCATTTTTGACTACTGGAAATGTTGCTCTGAGTACCTAAGTACAAGTTTTTGTGTGGACACATTTTATTTCTCTTGGGTACATACCTAGGAATTCAGTGAGTCATGTGGTGGCAGTCTTTAATTAACCATGTAAGGAACTGCCACTGTCTGAGGTTTCCAGCCACTGAAACAAATCCCAGATAAAATTTCATCCTAAGATATTTTAGCCTATATCCATAAGAGATAGGAATTTCTTTTTAAACATGCCCACAGCACAGTCATAGTGTGGAGTAAGAGTAATTTCTTACTACTGTATCATCAGATTTCAGTCAGTGTTCACATTTCTAATTGTTTCCTACATGTTCTTTTAGTGGCTTGTTTGAATCAAGTTCCAAGGAAGGTGCACACATTATATAACTGATGCATCTTTTTAATCCTTTAATCTTGTAAATTTTATGTCCATACCTCTTTCTCTCTCTCTCTCTCTCTTTCCTTGTAAGTTAATATTGTGGAATTAGGTCCTTTGTCTTGTGTCACTTTCCATAGCCTGGATTTTGCTGGCTACATCCTCAGGTGTTACTGAACAGGTCCCATTTCTTCCTAGAGCTGTGGGGATGCTAAAGAAATCACACCAAAGTCCTAGAACAAGCTGACCACAAACACAAGAACAAGACACAAGTGTGTCATTTGCACACCCACTTGTCCAGTGATCTTGAGGCCAGAAAGCCACCAGCTGGCTTCTATGGAAAGGTCCTCAGGAGGCCAGCACAGCAGCCCAGAGTCCCTGCCAGTCCTAGAGACCGTCTGTGTGGCAGGGAGGGACTGTCCCCTCATGGTGCTGGGAGTCTCCCCATATGCAGTTCTGAGGTGGGGGTCACTGGAAAGCCAGGCTTGGTCCAGACTTTGGGTTAGTGGGACAGGGAATTTGAGCCAAGCTCCTAGTAAATTTGGCACAGTCCTAAACTGATTGTTGCTAACTTACTGTGGATGTACATGTGCTAAAACAGCTAAGCACTAATGAGTATGGGAAGTTTAAGAAACACTGAAATACTTTCAGTTTTCAAGAAAATGAAGTACTTTCAATCTTTTCAAGATTCCTAGAAATCAGTTTTCCACATGTTCCATACAACTCTCCAATAAAAGGGCACTATCACCCCAAAATGTCCCTAGACTGATGCATTTTGTGTACTCCACCAATGGTACATTTCTGCCCTCATCTGAATATTTTCATATGAGCGGAGCAGTCCTACCTCTAAATTAATAAGTGACATTTGCCTGACTTTCAGATGCGGGAGTCAACAGAACCTCCAGGGGCAGAAGTCTCATCGGTAAGATCCAGGACAACAACCTCCCCGTCACCAAAAAAGGAGTCACGGTGGCCCCAGGCTTTGTAGTGGATGAGTTCTCCGTGTCCATCCTCACGGGAAAGCTGACGACTGTCTTCCTCCCAGTGGTCTACACGATCGTGTTTGTGATCGGCTTGCCTAGCAATGGCATGGCGCTCTGGGTCTTTCTTTTCCGAACAAAGAAGAAGCACCCCGCCGTGATTTACATGGCCAACCTGGCCTTGGCGGACCTCCTCTCAGTTGTCTGGTTCCCCCTGAAGATTGCCTATCACATTCACGGCAACGACTGGCTTTACGGGGACGCCCTCTGCAAAGTGCTCATTGGCTTTTTCTATGGCAACATGTACTGCTCCGTTCTCTTCATGACCTGCCTCAGTGTACAGCGGTACTGGGTCATCGTGAACCCCATAGTGCACCCCAGGAAGAAGGCAAACATTGCCATTGGGGTCTCTGTGGGAATATGGCTGCTGATTCTGCTGGTCACCATCCCCTTGTACGTCATGAAGCAGACCATTTACATCCCAGCCCTTAACATCACAACCTGTCACGACGTCCTGCCCGAGGAGGTGCTGGTGGGGGACATGTTCAATTACTTCCTCTCCCTGGCCATTGGCATCTTTCTGTTCCCGGCCCTCCTCACGGCGTCTTCTTATGTGCTCATGATCCGAGCGCTCCGGTCTTCTGCCATGGATGAGCACTCGGAAAAGAAAAGGCACAGGGCCATCAAGCTCATCATCACCGTCCTGGTAATGTACCTCATCTGCTTCACGCCTAGTAACCTTCTACTCGTGGTGCATTATTTCCTGATTAAGACCCGGGGCCAGAGCCATGTCTATGCCCTGTACATCACCGCCCTGTGCCTGTCCACCCTCAACAGCTGCATCGACCCCTTCATCTATTACTTTGTCTCTCAAGACTTCAGGGACCACGCCAAGAACACTCTCCTCTGTCGCAGCGTCCGCACTGTGAAGCGGATGCAGATCTCCCACACCTCTACGAAATTCTCCAGGAAGTCCAGCTCTTACTCTTCAAGTTCAACCAGTGTTAAAGCTTCCTCCTGAGCTTCCCTGCTCCACAGGTAGAAGCTCCACGTGGTGGCTCCCTGGGTGGGGCTGGTGTTTCCTACCATGCTGCTTCTCCCAGGTCTGCTGGGGCTTCCCTGCCTGCAGGGGAATAGTTCCCCATGTTAACCCAGATGGTAGCGTCAGACTCCGCTACTCAGATGGAAAACTGACCTGACCAAAGCTGATTTATTTAGAGTGTGGTGAAAAGACAGAAACCTGTCGTGAAGAAACTACACGGCATAAGGATGCAGCTTCTAGTTGGAAGTGATTTTTCTAAATCTGCGGTCCATCTGAGCCTTGTTTGGGCTTGAGGCCCCAGACAGCATCAGGCCAATCGACCAGCTTTCCAGATGAGGAAGCGAACTTGGTGAATGGGCTTCCGGAGGGAGTCGGAATCCCAGCCTACTGCAGGGAGCTCTGGAAGGGAGCTTCGTGAGACAACAGAACCCATAGCTTCAGTGAATGACTCTAGATTCACTGCAGTTGGTGAGGGTCGTGATAAATGCAGGCTCCTTGGGTGGGTAAGGAGAGCTCAGTCCACAGGAACCGGGTCCTCCACGAGGCATGCGCTGTCCATGAACGAGAAAGCCAGAGAAACTTTGGCCTGAGATCTTTTCCACTTGACAGGTTGCCATGATGGTTTCTGAAAAGAATAGCTAAGAAGAACGTTTTATGTCTCTGTTTTGCTTGTAATGAAATTTGTTGTTGATGTACTAGGACTCTCAGCTCTTTCTTTTTTTTTTGGTACCGGGTATCAAACTTACGACCTTGCACTTGCAAGGCAGGTGTGGTGCCACTGAACTACATCCCTGCCCCTCTCAGTTATTTCTTTATTATTCCTTTGAGCTTTTGTATGTGTTACTATCCCAGAAGAATTTGTGGATCTTAAACATGGAAATCAACTTTGTTATAAGATCTTACTGACCGCAGTCTGAGTAATAGACTTAGTTTTACAATTAAGAGGAGTCTTTACCACTTAGTATTTTAAAAAGTTATTGTTGGGATATTTATGATCAAGTTTTGTTCACTTGTTATCAAATAGGAAATTACAGTCTTCACAAGGTTAGAACCACATTTGTTTGTGAAAAAGCGTGAATGGAAAGGGCTTGCAACATATTTAAGAGGTACTTGACTCCAAAGTGACTATGTACTGCTGTATTTGTGACCTTTAAAATTATTTTATTGTATGATTGGTTTATAAATAATACATTGCTTTTTTTTTTTTACAATTTATATCTGAGCCGTGTGTTTTGTTTGAAGGAAGGAGTAGGGGAAGACAAGAAGTAACTGTGTTGCTCTTCTGAAAAAAACAAATGTGATTCTCATACTCCCCCCACCCCATTGCTGGGATCAAACCCAGGGCCTTACACATTCACTTGGTAGGTTTTACATTAAAAAAAAAATACTGTACCTATGGCTGTGCAACAACTGTTTTCCATTTAAGAATATGTTTTAGCTGCAAGTGTGGGTTCATACCTGCCTACAACCTCAGCATTTTAAGAGGCTGAGGCAGGAGTACCATGAGTTCAAGCCCAGCCTGGGAAACTTAGTGACTTACTGAGAGCCAGTCTCAAAGTAAAAAATAAAGAAGAACTCTGGGGATGTAGCTCAGTGGAAAGGCCCTGGGCTTAATACCCAATACCGCCCTCCCCAAGTTTTACAATTCTTTCCATAATTATTTGTATAGGTTGGCCTTTATTTTAAAAGGATATGGACACAGACTTAATTTAATAATTTGGATATATTACAATGTATTTAGTCATATCCCTACTTGATGGCTCCTTAAATTGTCCCTGTCTTCTTTTTTCTTTCTTTTTATTTTATTTGGCAGTATTGGAGATTAGGCCTAGGGAACACTGATCAACATCCTCAACATCCCCCTCCCCAATAACTTATTTTACCTACTTGCTGTTTACATTTTGTGGTCCTGGGGATTGAACTCAGAGGTGCTCTACACTTGATGTACAACCTCAGCTGTATATGTTTTTAAAGTTTTTTGAGACAGGATCTCGCTGTGTAGTTCAGGCTGGCCTTGAACTCGGCAATTCTGCCTCAGCCTCCCAAATGCTGGGATTAACAGGTGAGGGCTCCCATGCCTGTCTTTTAAATTTTAGTGATTACTGTGGTTATTATATTGGGGATTGAATTTAGGGCCTTTGCACTGAGCTATATCCCCAGCCCTTTAAAAAAAAAAAATTTTTTTTTAATTTGAGACAAGGTGGTCTAAGTTGCTAAATTATGCAGGCAGGGCTTGAACTTGTGATTCTTCTGCCTCAGCCTCCCAGATTGGTACAATTACAGGCATGCACTGTCATGTGTGTATATAGACATCTGTGAGAGTGTTTTTTGGAGGATGTTTCTGGAAATAGAGAGATCAGGTCAAAAGTCAGATATCTATTTTAGGGCTGAGGTTTAGCTCCAAAATACTAGTAGTTCCTGATGTGTATCAGCTCCTGAGTTGAGTCTCCCACAGAGGAGAGGGCTGAGGGTGGGTTACCTGTCTACTTCACATTTTGGTGACTTTTGCCAAATTGTGCTACTACCAAAACAGTATGCTAACACCGGATTCCTGAAATGTTCATACACATTTGATGCCATCAACTTTTTGGAAAGAAATTTTTTTGGGTACTGGGGATTAAATCCGCCAGGCAAGACCTTTACTGCTGAGCTATATCCCCTGGCCTTTTGTAAAATTTTATTTTGAGGCAAGGTCTTGCTGACTTGCTTAGACTGGCCACAAATTTGTGACCTTCTTGCCTCCGTCTCTCAAGTTACTGAGATTACAGGTGTGCACCACCGTGCCCAGGAATCTTTGTAAATTTTGCTAATCTGACTGGGAACATCTCATTGTTTCAACTGTGGTGCATGACTGTAATCCCAGCACTTTGGGAAACCTGGTATCAAATTTAAAAAGGGACTGGATGTGTAGCTCGGCATGATGGCCCTGCATTCAATCCCCAGTACAAATAAACAACACATGCATTGTTTGACTGTGTGGAAGAAGCTGTTCATACACCTCTTCCTCATAAGGTGATAAAGGTAGATCCTGGGCTTGTCTGTGCTCTCACAAGTATTATGCAGCGCAATTACTATTACAATATCCTTCCCCAAGGCTTTGCTTCCCATAGTTTCTTTGCCCGAAGTCACACTGATGCCTGAAAATATTAAGTTGAAATTCCGGAAATAAGCAATTCATAAGTTTTAAACTGCACACCATTGGAGCAGCGCGATGGGACCTCACAGGGTGTGAATTACCCCTTTGTTCTAGGACTCACGCTGTGGGCCCTACCCGGCTGTGTCTCCGTGATCAGATGGGCTGGGGATTAGCAGTTTGCAGCCCCTGCGTGCAAGTAACCCCAATTTTACTTAATGGTTACCCCAAACTGATGGCCTCAAGTGAAAAGGTGAAAGTGAATGAAGATATTTTGAGAGAAGAGACCACGTTCATGTAACTTTTACCCCATTAATTGTGTAATTGTTCTAGTTTTCACTGTTGCCATTAATCCCCTCCTGTGCCTAACTGATGCAGCTCAGCCTATGTGTCCGCTCACAGAAACAACAGATGCTGTGGGGCTATTGCAGCTCCCACCATCTGGGGCTTGGGATGTGTCCCTGGGGATAGAGGGATGCTGTGTTCTCGGATGTTCACAGGTCTCCTTCCTGCTATGTCCATTTCCCTTCAGGACCCTTCTACACCTTGCTTTCTTTGTTGCTGTTTGCAGTGCTCAAAATAAAAAAAATTAAAAGAAGGCTGGGGAATGTAGCTCAGTTGAAATGTCCTGAGTTCAATCCCCAGTACCCCCCTCTAAAGAGGGCCCTGCCAGGGGAGTGCGAAGTATCCAGATTCTCAGATATTTGGGACTCGTGTCCCTCAGAAAAATCAGACAATATGACAAATAACACAAAAGCAGAGACTAGCATGTCTATCATCTGTCTATCACAGTGGTAGAGTTGGAATCCAGGGTCTATGCATTCTAGGCAAGCACTCCACCACTAAGCCATACCTCCCCCAATTAGGTTTTGGAGGACTCAGGTGGCCAGTACTGGTACTGAACCCAGGGCCTTCACACTGGGCTACATCTACAGCCATTTTAAAATAAATTTTATTTTTATTTTGAACATAGAACAATGGACACCTTTATTACAGGAGCTAAGCCAGGAGGGAGGGCGACTCATTTGCCTTTCTAGGCCTTGATTTTCCTCAGAGAGAACTCAAGCTCCTTGTTTTCTAGCACACAGCCATCTGCTTGGCCACACCAGCAGGGTCTCAATGCACCGTGGTGTGAAGATTGTCCTGTTGGCACTGCTCCTCTCGGATTTTGGCTGGGCGTTCTTTTTCCTTTCATCGTACTTTCTTTCTCACTAATTGGTCCAGGCTTGGCTAGAACTTGCAGTCCTCCTGCCTCAGCTTCACAAAGAACTGAGATTATGGGTATGCACCACCTCAACCAGCTAGAGGGCCCTCTTACTTTGAAAGTACCAACAGATTGCTTTCCAGAATGCAAATGCTAAACTGACTCAGTGGCAGACATTTTACTGGGTATTTCTTTGTGTGCCACTTCAGTTCTTTGCAGCAGGAGTTTCAAACTGGTAATTAATTTTCTGGTTGCCAAGATTTCCTAAACCCTGGGGCTCTCTGATGTCATCACTATGCATAATTTAGTGATTATAGCTTCATTTCTGAGCCTTTAGTCCGTTGAAGGAATGTATTACAGAATCAGATCATAGCTGCCTGCCCCAGGGTCACTCTGGTCTTCTTCTCAAATGTAAGTTTTTTTTTCCTTTTCTTTTTCTTTCCTTTTTTTTTTTGGTACTGGGGATTGAACTCAGGATCTTATGCTTGCAAGGCAGGTGGTGGAACCACTGAGCTAAATCCCCGGCCTTCAAAGGTAAGTTTCTGATCCCATGGGAGCAGACCTTCCCTGGCCGCCAGTTCTGGAAGAGCCAAGGTCAAGTGCCTCCTTGTCATTCAAGCCTTGAAACTTCTTGGGGAGTGGCTGTTACATAGATTTGTGAATATGGGAGTCACCCCAAGCTCACCAAGGAAATGCTGTGGTAAAGTTTGGGTCTGAGCTACTCTTGACTGTATAGGTCAGTCCATCTGAGCAGAGCATCTCCCGCCTCTGCTAGAGCTAGAGAGGCACTTTCTGCACCACCTTCTACAGAAACGTGCAGAGACGTCTGCAGAGCCTCTGGGCTCTGCCAGTTACTCCAGCAAACCAGCAGCTGCTGGCAGCAGTGTGAGTGGCTCCTTCACCCATCCCACAACATTCTTTGCAACATAGCTATATTGTTAAAAGCCAGTAATTAAATCAGTTCCTGCCTGAACAGCGTTCTCATCGCAGGGCTGATCTGCTCAGTGAAGCACACTAATGACAAAAACAGCAGAGAAACCCAACCCTCTAGTACAGAGGTGGCTAGCCTATGGCCCCTGTGCTGCAGTGAGCTGTATGTTATCACTGAAAGCTCCTCTAAAGGTTTCATCTTCACAGCTCTAGTATTTGGACTCCCTACAACATTTAAAGCATTGCCCAGTTCCAAAGCTGAGTCTTGAGAGTGGCAGAAATCAAAGAAAGCACAAAAGACCAGGGTTCAGAAGAGCTACTATTGTGTTTAACCTCTTTAATTGTGCTTTCTTACACTTTTTTTCAGTACGAGTCTTTGAATCCAGGGCTCCCTGCCTAGAGGCAAGTACCCTGCCCCATCCTAAACTATTTCCAACTGCAATAAAATCATAAAAGTAATAAAAGGTGCACATAAAAAATCTTGAGAATATAAGAACATACTGTTCTGTGAAAAATGACTATAGCTCCCCCTTTGTGCCCATATTGGAGCTCAGTGAACCCCCTTTGTCCCCTGAGATGTTTCCCACACGTATACCTGTTTTTTAAATATAAAAGAGGAGTTAAACTATGTACTAGTTATATGTATACATAAATTGCCTCAGAATGTAGAGGCTTAACCCATACCAAACATTTCCTAACCTGCCTGGCTTGTGTGGTCATGGATTCAGGAGCAAGTAAGCAGCTTTTGGCATGGATCTCATGAGGTGAGGCCAACGTGTCTTCCACACAGGCTGCCAAGTGCTGGGAAATGGCACAAGGCCTCAGTTTCTCCACATGGAGGCCTCTTGCAGGGGTGCTTAGAGTGTTAAGACTGCTTTCCTCCAGAACAAAGGACTCGGGAACACGAGTGAGCTGCACGCCTGGCCTTGAGGTCACACACTATCTCACCTACTCTGTTGGTCACACAGACCAGCCCCACTTCAGTTTGGGAGGAGCCACATAAAGGGACAGAGTGCAGGAAGAGAGGATCACTGGGACCATTTT